TGTAAAAAATCCATTGGTAATTTGATAGGGATTGCATTGAATCTGTAGGTTGCTTTGGTTAGTATAGTCATTTTCACAATATTGATTCTCCCAATCCAAGAACATGGTATATCTCTCCATCTGTTGGTATCATCTTTAATTTCTTTCATCAGTGTCTTATAGTTTTCTGCCTACAAGTCTTATGTCTCCCTAGGTAGGTTTATTCCTAGGTATGTTATTCTTTTTGTTGCAGTGGTAAATGGGAGTGTTTCCTTAATTTCTCTTTCGGATTTTCATCATTAGTGTATAGGAATGCACGAGATTTCTATTCATTAATTTTGTATCCAGCAACTTTAACAAATTCATTGACTAACTCTAGTAGTTGTCTGGTGGCATCTTTAGGATTCTCCATGTATAGTATCATGTCATATGCAAACAGTGACAGTTTTACTTCTTCTTTTCCAATTTGTATTCCTTTTATTTCTTTTTCTTCTCTGATTGGCGTGGCTAGGACTTCGAAAACTATGTTGAATAATAGTGGTGAGAGCGGAAATCCTTGTCTTGTTCCTGATCATAGAGGAAATGCTTTCAGTTTTTCACCATTGAGAATGGTTTGCTGTGCGTTTGTCGTATATGGCCTTTATTAAGTTGAGGTAGGTTCCCTCTATGACCACTTTCTGGAGACTTGTTATCATAAATGGGTGTTGAATTTTGTCAAAAGCTTTTTCTGCAACTATTGAGATGATCATATGGTTTTTATTTTTCAATTCCTTAATATGGTGTGTCATGTTGATTGATTTGCATATATTGGAGAATCCTTGCATCCCTGGGATAAATCCCATTTGATCATGGTGTATGATCCTTTTAATGTTTTGTTGGATTCTGTTTGCTAGTATTTTCTTGAGGATGTTTGCATCTATATTCATCAGTGATATTGGTCTGTAAATTTCTCTTTTTGTAGTATTTTGTCTGGTTTTGGTATCGGGATGATGGTGGCCTCATAGAATGAGTTTGGGAGTGTTCCTTCCTTTGCAATTTTTTGGAAGAGTTTGAGAAGGATTGGTGTTAGCTCTTCTCTAAATGATTGATAGAATTCACCCATGAAGCCATCTGGTCCTGGGCTTTTGTTTGTTGGAAGATTTTTAATCACAGTTTCGATTTCATTACTTGTGATTGGTCTATTCATATTTTCTGTTTCTTCCTGATTCAGTCTTGGAAGGTTATACTTTTCTAAGAATTTGTCCATTTCTTCCAGGTTGTCCATTTTATTGGCATAGAGTTGCTTGTAGTAGTCTCTTAGGATGCTTTGTATTTCTGTGGTGTGTGTTGTAACTTCTCCTTTTTTGTTTCTAATTTTACTGATTTGAGTCCTCTCACTCTTTTTCTTGATGAGTCTGGCTAACGGGTTATCAATTTTGTTTATCTTCTCAAAGAACCAGCTTTTAGTTTTATTGATCTTTGCTATTGTTGTCTTTGTTTCTATTTCATTTATTTCTGCTCTAATCTCTATGATTTCTTTCCTTCTGCTAACTTTGGGTTTAATTTGTTCTTCTTTCTCTAGTTTCTTTAGGTGTAAGGTTAGATTATTTATTTGAGATTTTTCTTGTTTCTTGAGGTAGGATTGTATTGCTATACACAATCTACTACTACTAGAACTACTTTTGCTGCATCCCATAGGTTTTGGATCATCATGTTTTCATTGTCATTTGTCTCTAGGTATTTTTTGATTTCCTCTTTGACTTCTTCAGTGATCTCTTGGTTATTTAGTAACATATTGTTTAGCCTCCATATGTTTGTGTTTTTTATATTTTTTTCCCTGTAATTGATTTCTAATCTCATAGTGTTGTGGTTAGAAAAGATGCTTGATATGATTTCAATTTTCTTAAGTTTACTGAGGCTTGATTTGTGGCCCAAGATATGATCCATCCTGGAGAATGTTCCATGCACACTTGAGAAGAAAGTGTAATCTGCCTTTTTTTAATGGAATGTCCTATAAATATCAATTAAATCTATCTGGTCTTTTGTGTCATTTAAAACTTGTGTTTCCTTATTAATTTTCTGTTTGGATGATCTGTCCATTGTTGTAAGTGAGGTGTTAAAATCCCCCACTATTATTGTGTTACTGTCAATTTCATCTTTTAGAGCTGTTAGCAGTTGCCTTACGTATTGAGGTGCTCCTACATTGGGTGCATATGTATTTATAATTGTTATATCTTCTTCTTGGATTGATCCCTTGATCGTTATGTAGTGTCCTTCCTTGTCTCTTATAACATTCTTTATTTTAAAGTCTATCTTATCTGATATGAGTATTGCTACTCCAGCTTTCTTTTGATTTCCATTTACATGGAATATCTTTTCCCATCCCTTCACTTTCAGCCTGTATGTGTCCCTAGGTCTGAAGTGGATCTCTTGTAGACAGAATATATATGGGTCTTGTTTTTGTATCCATTCAGCAAGCCTGTGTCTTTTGGGTGGATCATTTAATCCATTCATGTTTAAGGTAATTATGAATATGTATATTCCTATTACCATTTTCTTAATTGTTTTGGGTTTGTTTTTGCAGGTCCTTTTCTTCTCTTGTGTTTCCCATGTAGAGGAGTTCCTTTAGCATTTGTTGTATAGCTGGTTTGGTGGAGCTGAATTCTCTTAGCTTTTGCTTATCTCTAAAGGTTTTAATTTCTCTGTCGAATATGAATGAGATCTTTTCTGGGTAGAGTAAACTTGGTTGTAGGTCTTTCCCTTTCATCACTTTAAATATTTCCTTCCACTCCCTTCTGGCTTGCAGAGTTTCTGCTGAAAGATCAGCTGTTAACCTTTTGGGGATTCCCTTGTATATTTTTTGTTGCTTTTCCCTTGTTTCTTTTAATATTTTGTCTTTGTATTTAAATTTTGGTTTTTTGATTATTATGTGTCTTGACTATAAATAATTTTTACCTTAATTTTATACCTAACTTAGTGTTCTCTTTAAAAACCATTTATTCACTAGATTTGCACCAGTTGAATTTTAATGTTTTTTAAGTATGAATTTTCTTTTAAATCAAGATTTCACATCTTATATAGTTAATATAATGTGTCAGTGTCTGGGAAGACATTACAAAGATATTCTTAAAACATTTCACCTGAGGGCTACTTTGAAAGGAAAACACTCAAAATGAATATTTAAATTTTTTTTGTTGTTCCTGTTGTTATTTATTTTAAAAACCATTCATATTAATTCATCTCATTTGGCACAAAATATAATATTAGTCACTTTAGCTAAATGAGACAAATTTCTGATCAGGTTTGAAATTCTCTATATGTCAGTTCTCTCCAGATTTTTCAATAACTATTACCACCTTGATTTTGCAGTCTTTGGTCAGTTGTTTACAACAATCAAATTATTTTTTACTTCAGTTTTGCACAACATTTATGCCAGTTACTCAGAAATATATATTATCACAATTCACTTTTTTCCTGATTAATTATAGTATCCACTGTCATTTTTCTCCATGCTAAGCCTTCTAGGTAAATTTCTTAAAAGTTAATGCCTATATTTTTCCTTTTTTAATATTCACACTGCCCAAAATGGTAATGCATGCAAAATAAATCAGTTTAAACAAAGCGTAGTGAAAGTGAACAAGACACAGATCTTTAAAGAATCACAAGGCCCATTGATTTGGCCAAAGATTAATCCTAAACCAGTAGCATATTTGATTCAAAGTTGCCTTGTTAACTTTATTTAGATAACTTTATTTTATGATTTCACTGAGTTTCTGGGCAATTTTCAAGTGAGACTCAGCTAGTTGCGAAAGGTGCTGGATAGCTTGAAGAGATTATTGAAGAAGATATGGCAGGATTCACTGTATGACAAGTTATGCTTGTCCTTCTGACATCTTTACTTTGATGGGCTAACTGGTTTTCGAGAGGAAGCACTAACTACTCAATAATGTTAGAAATGTGAGATTCAGGTAGCTGAATGTCTAACTCAGTGTGTCTAAGGAGAGGTGATTTGTATTACAAGGTTTTACTTTCATAGGTGATTTTTTTCAAAGTCACTTAAAAACCTGATGCATTCATTTTAAGACAATATTCATGGATGGCATTTTTCAAACCATTTCTAAATCATCTAATCTATTTTGAAACTGGGCAATTTTGTTGGAAATTCTTTTTCTTTTTATCATAAATTGAATCAGTATTAATGATTGCATTTTGTTATGTGTGGGTTGGGGGAGTTTGTGATATATTATGTAAATTTCCAGACATAGAATCTATAAAGGAAAAATATAAGCTTTCCCAATCTACAACCATCATGAGGACATTATAGGCTCCACTGATTAGCATCCTCACTTTACCAAAAATTCAGTAACCCTTCGTATTCTTCAGTTTGATTCCTTCTTTGTTTTAAACTTTTTCAAATAAATAAGATTAAAAAATAATATTGTAAAAAATATTATGAATAAGATTATATTTCCATTGTCCCTCAATGGAAAAAGACCAAAGCAAACCATTCATGGCTCTGTGGCTCAAGTCCTGTGGATAAAGTGAGATAACATGGAAGTCATACATAAGAAATAACTATTAAATCAATAATATTTGCCTTTTAATTGATTATTGAATGAATTTTTGAAAAAGTAAAATAGAATATAACTTAGAAAATTTTTTCTTATTTTGCACATGTTAGCACTGTACTGATCGATAGAAAATTATTTATGAATGTCTAGTATCTTGATTATTTTTATTTTTTCCAAAAATTTTCCTTCTGTGAAATCATTCACTTTCAAATTTATTCTCAAATTTTCTGTATATTTATGTATATATGTATATGTGCATGTGTTTACATACATACGCACACACATATATTTGTATTTATATATGTCAATATTTGAAGAAGCAGATGTGTATATATATAAATGGAGATTAACATGATGTGACATCCTTATAGTGTTTCATTTATTCTGCATGTAAAATAACAAGTGTATATTATTGGTGCTGTACACATTCTCTGGCTCTAAATGTAAATTTTAATTTTGTTTCCGAACTAGAGAATACTATATCACTATGGTTAAATGGGTAAGCAATACCAAGACGGTGGTCAGATGGTTAAATCGACCTCAGAACATCTCCATCCTCACAGTCTGTGAGACCACTACTGGTGCTTGTAGTAGAGTGAGTATAATTTACTTTCCTTTATGCTTAAAATATAATAGTTTATGCTACCTTTCAAAGGAAAATTAAACAATTCTTTGTGCAAAGACTTCAATATTTAACTTCTAAAGCTATTAGGAGTGTATACTTTAATTCATAAATCTTCCATACGTTGAAGTAAGAAATATAGATGATAAAGAGAAGAGAACAAATTAAGCTTTAAAACAATGAATTCTTATATAGTATAAAGGGTAGTCCAAGCCATGTTAGTTTCATTCTCAAATGTAGGCTTTCTCTCTACTTTTTGACAGTGATTGACTTGAGAATATGTGATATTTCTTTCCTGTCATCTTTAAACAATTCCAAAAATTCATCGTTTTTTCTGTAGTTCAGATTAGTCTTCTAAAATAAGTGTCTCTGTCTTTAAATTATCTATAAATAGTAAAAAAAAAATGATTCTTCAGCAACTATGTTTTGAAAGTAGGTTGTATTTCAATTTCTAAAATCATGTTTTATAAACTCTGCAGTAGAATCCATATGTGTAATTTTAAGGTTATTAGTAAAGGGAATACTTTAATAAGTTTAAATTGTTATATTACATATTTGGTACTTGGTAAAGGGTTCTCAATTATTTAACAACAGAATTTTCAAACTTAAGCTTCTGGACAAGATGGAGTAAATGTTATCAGCCTTGCATCTCCATAGTAATCAACTGTAACACTTTACAAAATATATTAACTACATTCAGACATTGGACAATAAGGCAGTCAAAATATAAATGGTCAAATGAAGCTATGGCTTCCTACTGGTGACACATTTGAGGCCACAGTGCAAGGAGATGGCATCCAAGAAAAGCACAAGTGTATCACTGATCCAAAAAGGCAGGGAGAATCAGAGTTTGAGGCTATTGTGGTGGCTGAATTTTTCAGGACAAGTACCACAGGATAGGAGCTATATATAAAAGAACTTCAGCAATATATGTAAAGGTCTCTTAAGTCTTTATCTCAGTGCTTAGCTGTGCAAGTAAAGGGCCTCCCTCAGAGAGGGAAGCAAATAGAGAATCTGCAAGTTGCACAATACTTGGAGACTTTGGAGTAATGAACAGCAAAAATAGAGATCTCTCACTGAAAACCCTAAGCATTCAACTCAGAGCCCAGAAAGAAAATGTATTAGGAATAGAACTATTCTATACTCTTTCTAATAAATCTTTAAATCAAACCTTGAAAGAATTCAGTTCATCTGCCTGTAAACTAGCTGCCTGCCAGAACAAAGTTTACTCTTTAAAATAATTAAAAATTCATTCTCAAAAATGTAGCATTCACAACATCAATCACACAATTAAAACATACTATATATAGACATAGAAAATATAACTCACGCACCTCCCCCAAAATAAGAAGCAGACTTACAAAGGATATAGATACTGGAATTAACAAACAGACTGAAAAAATTTTAAAAAGCTTTTAGCTATTTTTGTTATTTAACAGATTAAAGGATGGCCATAATTAGTAAACAGATGAGAAGTTTCAGTAGCTAAATATAAACTATAAAAACAGAGCAATGAAATGTCAGAAACTGAAAAATACAGTGTCTGAAATGAAAAATTGCCTGGATGAGCTTAACAATAAATTGGACACTGTTGTAGTCAAGGAAATATAAATAATTCAAACAGAAGTCTTGAGGGAAAAAAGGTTGGAAAAAAAAAAAAGCAAAGCCTTAACTACCTGTAGAATAATATAAACTGGTATATATGTAAAATCTTATATACAGAAGGAAAAATTTGAGATACCAGGGCAGAAAAAAATGTAAGAATGTAAAATGTAAGAATGTACAAAAATGTAACAATGACTTAAATAATCAAATTTGATGAAAAACCATTAATCCATATATCCAAGAAGTTAGAAAATCTCAAACAGAATAAAGACAAAGAAAAAAATACATCACCACATAGTACATAAATTAATGCAAACAAAAGATTAAGAGAGGAAATTTAAAGTAGCCTGAGAGAAAAACACATTACATATTGGGAAATATAATGATGAGAATTACGGCCTGTGTCTCACCAGAAACAATGCAAACCAGAAAGCAATGGAAGGAAGTCGTTATTAAAGAACTAAATCCTATGAAAATATCTTTAAAAAATGAAGACCAAGGAAGATATTTTCAGATAAATTGGAACTGAGATAATTCATCAAAAGTAGATCTGCAAAAAAAAATAAAAAGTAGATCTGCATAAGTAACAGGAAATTAAGTTATTCAGGCTAAAATAAATGACATCAGATGAAAACCCAGATCAAAATGAAGGAAATGAAGGTGCCAAATAAGGTAAATATGTGAATAAAATAAAATAATTTCTAGTACTTAAATTTTCAAAAAGGTAATTAAGGAAATTAAAGTAGTATACAATAGAGATATTAATAGAATAATTTCATAATGATACAGTGTGAATTGATTAGGAAGATATAACAGTTCTAAGTACCTACATTTCTAATAATAAAGTTTCTAAATATTAAGCAAAAGCTGACAAAGCTAAGGAAGAAATAGAAATATACTGAGACTTAAATATTATTTTCAATGTATTTGATGAAATAAGTCATCAAAAATCTGTAATGATAACAAAAGATCTGGACAATACTATCAACACCTTAAACAAATTGATATTTAGGAAAAATTTCACTCAACAACTGTATAATAAACAATCGTTTCAAGTGCAAGGGGAATATTCAAAAATCTCAAGGTGCAAAAAGTGAAATCAAGCAGAGTATATTGTTTGACTATAAGAGAATTAAATTAGAAATTAGTAACTAAAAGATATTTGGGAAATTGACAAATATTTGGAAAATTAAAAAAACATACTCCTAAATAATTCATAAGTTAAAGGACAAATCACAAAAGAAATTAAAAACAATTTAAAATTCAAACATAATGAAAACATAGCAGGTCCAAATATATAGGTAAAACAAAATGATGTTTAAAATGAAGTTTATATCTTTAAATGCGTATATTAGAAAAGGAAAAATGTATTGAATCAATGGTAAATCTCCAAGTTATGAAGCTAGAGAAAGAAGTACAAAATTAGCTCAAAGTAATTAGAAGGACTGAAATATAAAAAGAAAAGTACAAATTAATAAAACACAAGACAATCTATAGAGAAAATCGGTGAAAGCAAAAATTATTTTAAAAGATGAATAAAATTGATAAATCCTTATTTGTACTGATGAAGAAAAAACACCCCACAAACTACCAATTTCAAGAATGAAAGGGTCCCTATCAATATACTGATGGCATATTTTACAGAACTAGAAAAAATAATTTTAAAATTTGTGTGGAAACACAAAAGACTCTGAATAGACAAAATAATTTTGAGAAAGAACAGGGCTGGAGGGACCACACTCCCTCCTACAGACTGTACTACAAAACTACAATAATCAAACCAGTACAGTATAGGCACAAAAACAGACATAGATCAATGGAACACAATAGATATCCTGGAAATAAACTCACACACTTATTGTCAATTAATCAATGACAAAGAAGGCAAGAATATACAATGGAGAAAAGACAGTCTTATCAATAAGTGGTGCTGGGAAAACTGGGAAGCTACCTATAAAAAAATGAGATTAGAACATTTCCTCACACCATATATTGGGGTTGGCCAAAAATTTCGTTTGGGTTTTTCCCTAAGATGTTATGGAAAAACGTGAATAAACTTTTTGGCAAGCCCAATACAAAAATAAATTCAAGATGGATTAAAGACCTAAATGCAAGACCTGAAACCATAAAACTCCTAGAAGGAAACATAGAACACTCTTTGACATAAATTGTAGCAATACTTTTTTTGAATCTGTCTCCTAAGGCAAAAGAAATAAAACCAAAAATTAAAAATGAGACCTAATCAAACTTAAAAGCTTTTGCACAGCAAAGGAAACTATTGACAAAATGAAAAAATCTACTAAATGGGCAACAGCACGCTTCCACTATGCCACTCTGCTAAGCACAGGATAATCTACTAAATGGGAGAAAATATTTGCAAATGATATGACTCATAAGGGATTAATATACAAAATATATACACAGCTCATACAATTCAATATCTAAAAAGAAAGCCCAATTAAAAAATGGGCAGAAGACCTGAATAGACATTTTCCCAAATAAGACCTTCAGATGGCCAACAGGCACATGAAAGTGTGCTCAACATCGCTAATCATCAGAGAAATGCAACTCAAAACCACAATGAGATGTCACCTCACATGTGTCAGAATGGCTGTTATCAAAAAGATAACAAATAACAAGTGTTCAGGAGAATGTGGAGAAAAGCCAGCCCTGTACACTGTAGGTAAAAATGTCAATTGTTGCAGCCACTTGGAAAACAGTATGGAGGTTCCTCAAAAAGCTAAAAATAGAACTACCTTATGACTCAGCAATTCTACTTCTGGGTATACATCCAAAAAAACACCCCAAAAACACTAATTTGAAAAGATACATGCATTACAATATTTATTGTGACGTTATTTACGATAGCCAACATATGAAAGCAACCTAAGTGTCCATCAACAAATGAATGGATGAAGAAGAAGTGGTATACACACACACACACACACACATATATATATATAATGGAATATTGATCAACCATAAAAAAGAATGAAATTTTGCTATTTGCAATAATATGGATCGACCCAGTGCGTGTTATACTTAGTAAAATAAGTCAGACAGAAAAAGACAAATACTGTATATTATCACTTATATGTGGACTCTAAAACATAAAACAAATGAATGAATATAACAAAACAGAAACAGACTCACAGATATGGAGAACAAACTAGTGGTTACCAGTGGGGATAGGGGGCTAAGGGGTACAAATTACTGTATATAAAATAAATAAGCTATAAGGATATATTTTACAGCACAGGGAATATAGTCAATATTTTAAAATAAGTTTAAATGGAGTAAAATCTATAAAGATTTTGAATCACTATGTTGTACACTTGAAAATAATATAATATTGTAAATCAACTATA